TTCCCTTCCATAAATAATCGAAAAAAACAGTGTATATACCAATTTGAATGAGTGGAACGTGAGTTTTCAAGTAGCTTTCAGTGAAAACTTGCTTTCGTTTGACAGATTTTACATGGACGAAAACACAAGTTTTAGGTCGAAAACCAGTTTAAAAATGTTTTCGATGTCGGTCACAACATGGTATAAAATTGTAGCTTGACAGTTCCACAGTTTTTAGTCCGAAGTTCAAAGGAACAGACTATTGGGGTGTTCCCAGTTCGTTCCAAATTGTGTCTCAAAATGTAGACGTCTACATTTGAGACATTTTTAGCATCAAACTTTGAGCACTCCTTTCTAGCAGTCGTCACAAAATCGTCGCAAAACTTTACTGGTGTTGCCAGACAATTCTTCTTTGCGTCCACTTTTTATATGTCGCCTTTCGATTTTGGTTCTGAAAAATTTTAATTGTTTAACTTTATCACCAATTGCCAGATTTGTTCTTTCTTTTCATTGATTTGTTTGTTTTCAGCAGCCATTGCGCTCAAATCAAATGCAAATACGGAAAACGTGCCCAATAAATTAAAAAAATATGATTTTCATTGCCATAATGCAACCCTGCTACGAGGTTGCGAAATGTATACGCGTAAAAAACATATCTTTGAGTGTGAGAAAATGTAGACGGCGTCGTTTTACAATTTAGTATGGGAAACAACAACACAATAGATTTTACGGTTAGAAAACGTCTTAAAATGCAGACGTCTGTTATGTGAGCAGCCCCCGTCATTCAATAAATATTTTTTTTTATTTTTTTTGGAACAATCGTCTAATTTATTATCCACAGACACGTAAACCCATAGCACATCTTTTAGTTAAAAATCTAACTAAACCTATACATTTATTTTGAACGACTCCCCACGGCATTCCGAGCCCATGCATTAGATGCTCCCACCGCGACACTCCAATCGATGCTTCCACGCGAATAGCTAAAACCACATCAGAATTAAGTTAGGCGAAGATCGCCGCGGCTCCATGTGCGGCCTCAACGTTGAGTACTTACTATTGCTAGCAGTCTCCCGCCTGCATGAAAGGTGACCACCAACTCCCAAGTCACAAACTTCAGCGTAACTGCAAATATTTAATAAAAAATGAGATAGACAAAGCGCAATGAATTTAACATAAAGTAAAAGTTAAATTCGAATTCACTTATCTAGCGCTGCTTGTACTCCTTTCAATTTTATTTTCTTTGTTATGATGTCAAATGTCAAAAAGACAACTGGAAGAGTGAAAAAAGGCGTGAGTACTAGGTACTCATGAAATTTGATGTGTAAACATATGCGAACGGCAAGGCATAAAAGTACGTTTACATATAAATATAATCTCAATCAAAGCTTGTTAGCTGTCAAATTGGTTATGCTTGTTATTCATACAACTCTAGGAAAAGTTAAACTTCTTCTCTGTGCCACCGTGGTCACTTTTTTCTGCAACACATATTATGCCATTTAAATATATTTTAACTGAATATTTTATTAAAAATACTTTGACAAACCTATTTCCTTACTAGCGTCAATTTTTGTTTACTTTAACATTTGACATTCCTCCTCTTCTTCGCAAGTATAATCGATAAAACTAGGTTGGACACCAAAAAGTTATCATCTAATCTGAGATATTTTTAATTATAATTTTGCATGGCTAATCTCTTTTTCTAATAACAGATTAGGGAGTTAAGCTCGAAAATTAGGATAATCTTTTTATATGTAAAGCTATTATTAGGCGATTCAGTTACATACATACAAATGTAGGTTAAATTTGAAATTATACATTCATTTCACTTAATTTTATTCATTTTGCTGATTTAATTTTTTTATTCATTTTCATTTTTAATTCCTTTAATACATGAAATTATCGGTATGATTGATAAAATATACTTGTATATACTTGTGACTCAAGGGCGTTAAAATATCTTGGAAACACCGCATCAGTTATTGTTTTTGAGCTTATAGTTTGAGCATTTCTAATTGTATATATTCCTAAATTTAGTTTTTGCTTTCGGAATATAATCTGTGGTTCATGCAAATGCAGTTCATGTTGCAGGATTTTACCCGATGCTTTTTTGTTCCGTACGAATCGCTGTTACTCACTTTTTACTCTCACTTCAGACAGTGATTTTGCTGTTTGACCTTTTTCCAGGATTTTACACGAAAAGTATTGCATCAGAGCTATTATATCATCCATACATATGCATATTATACATACATATATTCATGTATGTTCATCAGTTATCAACGGTCCCCGTTAAAATGATTTCAGTATTTTTTTAAAATTTCGCCTTGCTTTTTTATCAAAATAGACTACTAAACCTATGCCTAACACCATCTACGAATATCAAAATGCATGTGTGGAGATTAAATAATCGGATGTAATAATCAATTGTAGCGCATTTCCTCTTAGTATGCATATGCCTAAATGTATGCAACCATTTGGCAAGCAAACACAGGGTGCTTCTAATGAAAATAAAAATTTTATGCTGAAATACACATGCTAAGCCCTTCGAAATTTTGTGCTGGGATATGCGTTACAGCTTCGCAATCAATTGTGAAGATAACCGGGTGGCGCACGATTTAAATAGGGAGGGATATAGTGATGGAAGATATACACGAAGGTCTTTAGCGGGAATCCTATACATAGGAAAACGAGGGGTATAAAAGGGCATAACAGCGCTCGGTGGGAGAAAAACGATATCCAAACTTATAATGGCAAATACATTGCCTCTGTGTGCGAGTGTAGCTTAAATTTCTAAGTTTTAATGTAAAGCCTGTGTTTTGTGTGTAGAGCCAGCGGATTATATCTTACTGGAACCCCACTCAGCACCACAAAGGAGCACCAAGAAGGATAGCCTCCATAGCGATATTTCTTATGTTTAGTGGAAAATCAAAAGCAGGAAGTTGCGTGAAGAAGCTGGAAAGGGCGCAGAGGCAGGAGCAAACGCAACTTCCTGTAAGTTTAGCTTTTAGTTTATGTTTATAGACGTTTGATGGTACCCGAATATTGGGACCGCCCTGTAAACGTTTTGGGCCGATCAGGTAGCGTTTCCGGTCCTCCCAAGTGCAAAACCTATTAAGTCAGCTAGGTGTGAACCGCTCTATAGTGGATCAAGAACAGAAGTCACTGTTAACATCGGTTTGGGACAATAAGTCAACTCTACATAAGCAAATGAAACCTCAAGCTTTCAGGCTGAGGGATTCATACAGGCAAAAGAGCTGCCTAAATGTAGTTATTATTATTATCATTGCCTATAAAG